GTAAATTATAAAAATACTCCTTCCATAAGAAATACATGTAAATTAGTATGCGAAATGGGGCGAATCCTATCCGCCCAAAGGAAATATAACTGATATTCTGGAAATCTTGACAAAATTTCCAGTAATTTGACACTTTAATCATGAAATTTTGTCAAAAATTAAAGCGAGGGTGAGCGTTTAAAAATGGGATGATTTAAGGTTTTTTTTTTTATATTTCCAATTAAAAAACACCAAAACTCGACATTTTGTTACCTCGCCCTCGCCTTAATTTTGGATCAATTTTAATGATTAAAGTGTCAAATCACTGGAAATTTTGTCAAGATTTCCAGAATATCATTTATATTTCCTTTGGGCGGATAGGATTCACCCCATTTCGCATACCACTAATTTACATGTATTTCTTATGGAAGGAGATTTTAATAAGATATCAATTAAATAAGTTATAACTCGTAATCTGTTGAACCAAAATAAACACATTATATACTTTTCTTGTAGAAAATTTAATCTTCTTCAATTTTATAATTTACTATAGTATGCAAAAAGTTGATAGTTTTCGAGATATAATCAAAAAGCCCAAAATGCGTACCTTTCTCCCCCCCCTTTTTCCCCCCTCCACCCCCTGGCTCACCACCTAGGAGTCAGGACTTTTGGTATGTTAACACCCTAAGCCCCCTGAACAAGTTTCTGAAGGAATCGCTTAGTTACCTGCTCACGCACTCTACACCTCATTCCTTGACTGGACTATGAAGTAATGTGTAAAACCAGTTCCAGGCTAGAACCTAGCGTCCTAGGATGTGAAGGTGGGACATTAAAAAAATTACTTGATGGATTCCTTGTGACTGTAGTACTTTAACACATTTAAAATTGATATAATTGAATTGAGCATGTTGCCATTTCAATTAAAAGTATTAAAGTATGTCTGCTACATTAAATTTTTAAGAAGATAGCATTTTTTACCCTCTGAAAAAAAAATAAAATTATGTTCTGAATACGGTATAACACTTAATTATCAAAAAAGTTGTGATCCCTTATCTATTCAAAGTCAGAAAATTATTATATCAGGGCTCATATTTCTGTTCCATTTAATATATTTCAAAATTCAATGTAAGTAGTTACAGGATTTTTTTAGATTATACACACAGACCAACCTAAAAGTTGTTTTTTTGCTATATTCCCGAGGAGAGCCCTGTAACTTTATTTATATATTTTGTACAATAAATTTACGCTCATGTACAAAATATTTGGTTGGAAAAATTAATATTATTAACTATAAAACCTTTTACACAAGACAGTGGCGTAAGTATGTTTGTCTCAGGAAAAGCCGTTATCGCGGCAATATCCAAAAACTCTCGTGGACGCGACAATCGAACCTTGGCGCCTCCCCGCACTGCAGGGGTTGCTGCGGAGGTGTTATTTACGCCACTGACACAAGAACGATGTGGTTCTAACAAACAAACTCTCTTTAGCAATGTTCTATGCATATTACAACTGGGGAGGATCTAACACCACTTGAACATTTTAGATACAGAGAAAGTATACAAATTGAAGTATGAAGAATTGCTTGCTCGCTACAATAAACAGTTCACCCATGAGATGCGGTTGGCAGTCCTGGGACGCAAGGATGTGGACTGTGCCGAGGAGATCATCAGGGCTACCAACATTCCTCTCACACCATTCGAGTTCTCCGCTGAGATAAAGAAACTGCAAACCGGAGCCATGAAGAGTGCTGAGCTTAAACCAGGTAAATATATTGCCAAGTGTGTTTTTGACAAGAATAATTTTTGGGGCAAAATGTTGTAAGGGCGAAATTAAAATTGGATTCCCTTTTTAAAACACAAATTAGATTAACTACAAAATCTACTTAACAAGGATGCCTATTTAGAGGCTAAGAGTGTTAAACTAGGCTTATGCGGGCTACACCACATACTCGCTATTAGTGTTTTATGTTTCTTGTGTACGTATGTGTGTGACAACCCTTCACAACTCAAGGGATGTAAAAATCTTGTTAAACTTGATAATCTGCTTCAAAATGTCCCCATCTTAAATAATTGATAATTGATAATTGAAATTAACTGTTATGTTCAAAACTGAGGTCGCTTAGTCGTACCACTCCATAGCACAAGTATTTTTAACTTTCTATCCATCAGCTACTTACTACTTTTGAATCATTTATAATTATTGTACCCACCCACACTCGAGTGAAGACTTTGACAGCTTCTCTGGCTGTGCAGGGGCGGAGAGACTGGTTCAGCATCTGGCCAGGAGCAAAGTTCCGATTGCCGTGGCAACCAGCAGTTCACGTGAGACTTACGAGCTCAAGGTCTCCAACCGCCACGAGTTGATGGCTCAGTTCCACCACGTGGTCATGGCGGGGTCCGACCAGGAGGTGAAGAAGGGAAAGCCACATCCAGACATTTATCTGGTTTGTGCTTCAAGGTTCCCAGACAACCCTCATCCAAGCAAGGTTTGTGTTTATGATTAGATAGTTTTTAGTCCTAGTATACCTTCCCTTTATAGACAAGTCTGGCCAGTTAATCTAAAAGGTGGGTTGGAACAAGAAGTGAAGAGCAAGCCACATCAAGATATTTATCTGGTACATCAAGGATCACAGATTACCCTAATGCAATTGCAATCAAGGTTCGGGTTTGTTTAACATGGTTCTGTAATCTGTAGTTTTCAGTTTTAAAATGTTTCCAGTACTACGGTATACAGCATAGTCTGTATCATAAACCTTGAGACAAGGCCGTATGAACAAACCGTTGGAAGTTGATAATAATGAAAATGTATACTGTTTATTTATGTAGCAAAAATAAGTCAATTTTTAGGTTCACAACAGTAGGCCACATACATGACGGGGGTGTAAAAAAAAACTATTTACAGTAGCCTATGTCTAATGTTTTAAGTCTGAAATGCACCAGACTATAAATCCAAGGCAGCAACATCCCTGGTTTGCTTCCCCGGAGCCGGCACTAAGAATTTATCAGCTGATTTCATTCAATACTATAAAAGCTCACCCTTGCTTTGTTTCATACGTTCAACACAGGCCTTTCAGGCCAAATGTAAGGTAAAATGAGCCTGCGAAGCTCAAAAACTAAAGATAACATTTAAACTAAACAACCAACCAATCCATCCGTTGTACATGTACTGTATTAGAGATGATGAATAAAGGATATTTTTACTTTGAATACTTTGAGAAATCCCCTACACAGGAATTGCAACTAACCGATTCACTTTATCCACAGTGTCTGGTGTTAGAAGATGCCCACAACGGAGTCCAAGGAGCAATAGCAGCAGGCATGCAAGTTGTTATGGTGCCAGAGGACTTTCTACCGAGAGAACTCACAAAAGAAGCAACCCTTGTACTTAACTCACTCGAGGAATTCCAACCTGAAGTATTCGGTCTACCAAAATTCTCCTGATACTTTTTGACCTTGTCAGTTAAATCACAAGTATTCAATGCAACTGAGGCATGTTGGACATATGATTGTAAATTTTAGGTTAAGATTGTTAAGTATCACATGGTTTAGCTCACTGAAGCATGTTGATTAAAATTCAATCCATGAGAGTTGTGAAATTTAATGTAACTGAGGAGATTTTACTTAAGTCCTCAGCTTATCAGATACATTGAAATAAAACCATGGAAATTGACTTGATGGAAGTTTACACATCCCATTTTTATTTTAAGTGCAGTAGACTTTCTTGGTTTTTTTACATACTACAGTAAAACGTTGATAATAATTATTCAAACTTCAAAAATTTGTACAGTCGTTAATCCAGATTTGTCTCTAGTCTCTAAAAAGAATAGTATATTTCATTACTAGGACCGAAAGTGACATTTTCCGGCGCGCGCTCAAGTTTTTATGTGAGGCGAAGCCGAACACAGGGAACTCCAATTTCACGTGCGAGGCGAAGCCGAGGATGTGAGAGCTATTTTCACGTACGAGGCGATGCCGAGGACGGGAATAATGGAGCAAGTGCCGGGTAATAACTTTCGGTTCGAGTTATGAACGATACTTTTCATCTCGACGCAAAAATACACAAACTCAGAATAGCAGTACTATTACAGTTATTGTATTTCTCAATTAATTTGAAGGAACATTAAAATGAAATAAAATCTTTTAAAAGGTTCTTACTTATATTGTTGATTAATTTTTAAAACATAAAAATAAGAGAAACTGTTCTTAAGGGAACCTACGTATATTTTTCAATAAATTTGGTTTCAACATCAAAATAAAAGAATAAAACAACTTTTAACAATACAATTTGAAACAGCTAATTCAAATCATTAAATTGAACCGAAACAAAACACTAGCGCGCGTAGTGAATAAATGGAGAACTAATTTAGAGCAAGGGAAAGTAAATTTAGAGCGAGGGAAAATCAGCTGATCAATTTTCCCTCGCCCTAAATTAAAGCTTGGGAAACGACTACTTTCATTGATATCAGCTGTTATCGAAAATAGTTACTTTCAATACGGAGTGATGAAAATACAATTTCACACCTTGCACTAAGCTCTTTACTTCAGAGTAGGCAATGGGAGAGTTTTGCATAGCACTAAAAAAAAGAAGCAGAATTCTTTATGTAAATTTTTTACAAATAGAGAATAATTTTAATATAAAAACTTGCAGTTCACTGTACACATTTTGCTATAAATTAAATACGATACAGTGCTTGAACATAAACAAATGTTTAATTAATCTCTCTTTTAGATCCCTATTCTAGATTTATATCCACATGATTTAAGTTTTTTAATCAAACAGTGGGTACTTTTTAAGGTAATTTCAATGATCTGGATGGGGTCAGGTCCCAATTAAATCAGATTATTTTTGTTATAGGCCTACTGTACACAAATTTAAATGCTTTGAGCCGGTTAGATAACGGAGTATTAAAGGTTTATGAGCTCTATGACATAAAATGCAGTCTGCAATGCAAAAATTTAACTTCTAATCTACCAAGCGAATAAAACTACATTCAAGAATGTTGAAAAAATAAAACACACAAAAACTGAAAAAATTGTTTCATAAAAATTAAAAGTGGACAGGACACTCTTTCACTGTCCTGATTTAAAGGCATAATTCATATCATTAACTTCATCATTAAAGTCCATCAACATTTGAGATACGTCAGCATCTTGATCTTTTTCCGCATCTACACCAGTCGAGTCCAATTCATCTTCATTTCTAATATAAGGTGGAGTTTTAGCCTTTTCATATACACCATCATTTCTAGTTCCTTTCTCCTCAAAATCTGCAGTTTGAGAACTTTCCCCTACTTCCGTCCCACCACTTTGACTCCACGTTCCTTCTTCAGCACCATTGGAAGTGCTACTGACATTTTCATCTTCCCCAGTAATGTCCACCACTTCAATTTCGTTGTCTTCGTCATCCCCCTCAGCTATGTCAATAACCTGTTTTGGATGATCTAAATGAACCAATTCTATTGTTTCTGAATCAGCCAAAGTACATTCTGTTATTTTGATTTCCTTTTCAAGTACAATTTCTCTGTGTTCCATTTCATTTTCCTCTGTTTCCATTGTTTTGGATTGGGTCTCATTGGGAGGTTCGATTCTCATTTTTTTCAAAGGTGGGTTTTCCTCGTCTTGATCATCCGTCTCCACCTGTATCACAGGGAAGTACAGTGAGGCGGCCGTTGGATGAATGATTCTGTCCAAACACCTCAAAGCAGCGGTACAAGTCTGTCTTACCTGTAAACAAAGCAAACTACATGTAACAAAATAAGTACACAGTTTGGTTAAATGAGTCACAAGGTGCTATCACACTATAGTGATACAGGTTTATAGTCTTTTAGAGAAGAAACCCATTTGAAACTTAAGGGAGACCTTAAATTTAAAACAAAGGTCATGAACTCAACCAGCGTTGCTAGTATATTTACCAGTAGAGAACGGAACTTAATGAGCCCTTCATTGAGCATGCTACACTTTAAGTTCAATTTTCTCATTTAGAGTTTCATTTTATGATAGTTGATCACATCACCTAAACAATGCTATATTGTTTACAATAAGGTTATCTTTAAATAAAAGCCAAGTGGAGAATGTTTTTTTAATAGATAGAGTTTTTACACACAATGTTCAGTGTTTGTATTACACATCATACACACAAAACAGTGTAGCGTACAATGTAAGAGAGGAACAACTAATGTTCTGATTTATGTATCATTCCTAATATATTTATTTGTTTTTAAGTCTGTATAATCTTTGGCAAACTTTGAACAATGTGCCGTTTTTGAAATCATCTGCCCTGCTAAAGATAAACCTTTATACGTTTATAACATACCAGAACGATGAAAAATCAACAGGTTGACACCATAAAACCTATGTAAGTAGTTAATACCAGAAAATTGCATAAAAAGGGACCCAGGATTGAGGTATTGGAATATTTCAGTTCGATTTGAGTCAGTGAGTAAAGTAGCATGAACTTACCAAACCGAAAGGATGGTGTGAGCCGGCCGTGAACGCAGTGATAGCTTGCGGTAACGGTGGTACCAACCTCGGGTGAGGCTCTACGCACAGAGTAAATAACAGCTGGTACAGCGCAGTCAAGCAGTTGACATGACTGTATGGCACTGGCAGGTCTGCCACTAGTCGTAACACTGTTTCAGTGATGCTCTATGAATGTAAAAGGTGCAGTTTAGAGTAATTTATGAAAAGAATGAATAGTATTTTGTAAATAGGAGATTACTAAATAGAAAGTAATCATCACATTCTCATCATTATAGTCGTAACCAGTTTCGGAATAAAATTATACACAGTTGAATTGGGTCACTGACTAACTAATTGAGTTGTAAGGATTGTTATGTACAATGATACGGATCAGCTAGCTTACCTGGTAGATAGAGTCCAGATTAGCCTTGGTAACACACGTAAAACACATGACACAACACAGAAAACCTAATATTTCGTCCCAGTTAGGGACTTCATCAGAAGGGAGAAGAAAGAAGACTCCAGTTGTGTTTTATGTGTGTTACGAAGGTTAATCAGGACTATGTCTACCAGGTAAGCTAGCTGATCCATATCCTTGTACATAATAATCCTAATCAGCCAACTGGCCTTTCCTTAACTTCTAATTGAGTTGTAAACTATTTTTAAGGGTTCTGTATAGTCTCCGGATTACTGGTTTATACTTTAAATTGTTAAACATTTGCGTAAAGTAATCCTTGGTTGCTCTACTAGCAACGAGTTTCGATTCCTGAATGACCCATCATCAGTTCTAAGGGGAGTCGCCATCAATCACTATTTGAAGGTTGCCAATAAAGTACAAGGATCACTTAAAGCTACTGTTTAACCGTTAAAAGAATTATTGATTTCTGTAAAATACGCAAACTGAGGTAAATAAAAAGACATCTTGTTATGAACTATAGCATCTCGTAAGTCACATAAAATGTAGTAGCAAAAACTTAAGGAGAAATTTGAATTTTTGCAATAGTGCACTTTATTTGTCGCTCATTTTGCTATGTTCTAATTAGGCCTAGTTAAAAATTTATGTGGATAGGTTGGACAACAGGCTTATGTTACTGACAAAAATAGTTCAAAGTTTGATAAACTCATGACACAGTCTTATGAAAGGAGTAATCCTTCCAAAACAAGACAACGAGAACAAAGGCTCTACAACTAAAGGAGCTAGTAGTTCCAAAAGATTCTATGTCTGTGGTTATTTTTTATAACTTTTTTCTTCAATAAGGTTTAACCTATCCACCACAAAATCCTTAAAACTTTGCTAAAGTTATCTATACGGTACCAAATAAAGATTTTTGAAAAGGTATAGGATTCAGGTACTTTACCTGAGAAATGTTATTTGTGTTCTTTAATTATTTGTGTATTCATTAGCCCCTGGACCATAATTTGCTCAGGTAAGCCAGCTCTCTTCCTTTAAAAAAATTCTAACAAGCCAGTTGGCATTTGGCTAAAATATAATCTATTACCAAATAATGCTAAAAATGATAAAACTGGCTTCAGTTGGTCCATTAAGATAGGATCACATGGCAGAAGATGATCAGTGTCCATAATTTTATGGTAATAATTTCAAACCATTTACCGGGTACAATCGGCTACTACTAATTACTGAAACGTTTTACATACCGAGATGACATCAGGTTTGAGCCGTGACACAGCAGCTCCCACCAGAGCGTCCAGAGTCAACAACGCTCGCTCACACAGTCTGTGGTTAGCCGTCTCGTCTCTGAGCTTCTCGCTACGATCCTGATCACTCACCAACACTTGTTGTCGTTTCTTACCCTTGGATGCCTTGGAGCCCACCTGAGAAGGTTAACAGTTTCTTATAGTCCTCCCTTCCCATCCTAGGAGAGTCAAGCTCCTAGGGTTGTTTTACACATTACTTTCAGGCTCGGCCTAGAGGGTTGCGGCATTATCATAGCTCCTTTCATAATTGGATTCAAGTCCAATGCCCTACATCGCTTGTTTAGACCAGCACTTTCTCTCAAAAGGTTTAACATTCATGCTGTTTGTAATGAGTTTATTGACACAAGGTGGGAATAGTTGCTGCAGTACCTATTTTAAGCAGCTCGGTGGTACAGCTGGTGCCATCGCATATGCATTGGTTTGTTTTATTTTAGAATAGTTTGACGTTACCTATTGTATTTTTTACTTAATGGTATAATAAATCTCTTGAATCTCTCTCTTGAATCTCTCTTGAATCGACATGTAAGCTGGCATTTGACCAATCGCTACGAGCCTAGTTCAAAAATATTATGTGCCATCATGCAGGTTGCGTCAACTGTCCTCGCGACCTATGTGAAGGTGCTGAAATACATGAAAAACGGGGGCTCAACTCCATGAGCCAGAAAAAATGTTTGCAGTCTGGTCTTTTCAGTACCTCCACCCTCCCACCGCCTAGACTGTCTGTGCCAGGCCCAAGTGCCAGCTTATGTGTGCTTAAGCCGTACCAGATCCTTGTTCAAATCATCCGCATTAAACAAAATTAATGGATACGATTCAAAATCACACAATGTGTAAAATTAATTGTATGCCGAACAGTTGATGAATACAGCACTAACATCTGTACGGACCAAACAGAGCATGATAAACATTAGAAAGAGTGGAGAGTGCATAAGAGTATGGAGTATGAGTCAAACGCACGGCGTCCTTCAAAGCATCCAAACTTCAAATAAAATAGAAAACCTACGGATTGAATTTTCATCATAATACGAGTACTACTCAAATGTATACATAATCTGTAGCCGAACACTGAAACAATTATAGTTAATTTAATATTGTAATTACAAGTTTTTACTCTTTTTGGCCCTACATTAAACGGAATTTGAATTTCCATTTAGCGTAAAATCTGGTTGAAGTAGAATTTGTTACAACTGTTAATATCCTCAGATTCATTTGTAATGGAGCTCTTTTAAATAAATATAACTCGCTTAGTCTACAAAATACAAATTTTGAGACAGATTTGTCATGCTTCGCTAACTTATTACTGTTGTCTGAAATCCGTTCTTTGGTTATGAATTTCACATATATGTACATATTCATGGTCATATAAATTTTAAGGTGATTTTAACTAAATAAAAACCATCAGGGATAATTTTTAGCGAGATGTCAAACATTCTGAGGCAATTTTCAGCCAAATGTAAAATATTTTCGAGTGATTTTCAATTTTCAGCTAATGTTGCATTCTATAGTATATTCCAAAGTTATTAACTTTCAGCAGCCAAACATCAACTGACCCGTAGTCTAACGGAGGGTTTCTCTGCGTGTATGTCAGCCAACAGTGGAGGGAGCAGTTTGTCCACCACAGTATCCAGCTGACTAGCAGCTCCGGCCACGCTGAGCCAAGATTGAAGACAACAGTAAGCGACATGTCTCGTCTGACTGTAACAAAACCAACATTATGACAACATTATGCCAACATTGTGACAAGAGGAGTACTGATAAGTTATTGTAATTCTTAATTCTACGCTTCCTAAAAGGCAAAGTGTCAGCTATCAAGAATAACAAACCCCTCTACTATGTTGATATAACTCAATAAAAGCTGTTTGAAGGCTATGATAAAGTTGTTATCATTGGCCGAGCAATCTAAGGCGTTGTAAATTCAGCCAAGAGACGGTGCCATAAATTGATGGTACAAGTCCCGTCTCAGTCAGGTTTGGTGTTCAATCCTTGAAGATATAGAAATAAAAAAGGTAACTTATAAATGACAATAGACTAGCGACCCATTCTGACAGTTGTTGCAAGCATTTTGCATTTTCTATTTATAATCACTGTGTGTGTGTGTGTTTCTTGAAAACCTTTTTTGATAAACATTTTGAGTTTTTGTTGTACAAAAATGCTAAACATTGTTTTTACAAACCTTGGGCCTACATATAGTGTTTTCATGGTATGGATAGTTGGTGACAGTGTTTTTTCTAACAGTTATGTAGCATCGGCATTACCTCACTTAAATTCAGCCCTAACCTCGGGGGGGGGGGGGGGGGGGGGGCTAACAGGGGGTGTCTCGCACACTTCAAAAAAGGAGGGGTTCGGATGTCCTCGCTGGACAATTTGGTATTTTTAAAGCCGTTTGGTTCACTTTCTAAAGCCATTTTTAGTGTATAGTACCATGTGTAAAAAACCTCCGATGTTACGTTTAAGGATGAAATGTGTTTAAATTTGTTTTTCAAGGTTCCAATTGGGGAAGTGGCGACTTGTGTGGGGGGGGGGGCCCTGTAGAAGTGCTACTAATGAGTTAAATAAGTAGATACTACAAAATAAACTTAATATCTTAAATTACCCAACGATTCTCGTTTGATTTAATTTCACACTTCTTTTCTTTATTAACCAAAATTTTTTTTTTATTACCTGTACGGTTTGATCATGGCGTAAGGCCAGTCAGAATGCTTCTGATGACTCCAATGGATGACTTGAGAACAAAGGTAACCAACCAACCCTCCATGAGGTACCAAGTTGCGCCCCAGGCTACAAAAACAAACCATCAATTTTGAATTAGACTCCATCTCTCGCTCAGAAACTGTAGGACACGCATGTGTAAGTCAAAGTAAGCAAAAGATTTCACACTTAGAACATCAGTAGGTGTAATAGTGATGTCAAGCTGAAAGTATAGATGTACTTTATAATGAAGCTGAAGCCAACATTTTAGAATAATTAGAAAAGATCTGAAAATTAAATTTAATCAAACAAGAATATAATCTGACACAGCTGTTTTAATCATATTGCTTACAATAAATAGTCCTGCAAAATAATCAACTGGTTTTAATTAGTAACAAGGCTTTCAGGTCATTCTACACTTACGATTCATTTATCTTTACCTTTAACAATCTTCATTGTGTATTTGCGTTCCACATTAGTAGTTCAATTAAAATAATAGGTAATAAACTTATGAATTTGTTCACCGAACAACTCTTTGGGAGAAAAAACCTTCCTACACCGGCTGCAAGCTGAGGAACCATCTACCTGACTACCTGAGAGACCTGACTGGCAACAAGCTACACCAGGAGTTGAAGAAGTGGCTAATCGCAAGACCCTTCTACTCAATAAAGGAATTTTATGAAAATTAACATGTACAATTCACTATTGTATTGACACTATTGTAATTCTTAACGAATTAACAATAAAGAATATTGTATTGTATTGTAATTTAGGGTATAAAGATCAGGAAATAAATCTCTGCAAAAATTCCTCTTCTATTTTATTTCTTACACATCAACCCAAGGTTTTAAGGGTGAGATAAATGAAAGATGGTTGTTGAATGAATTAATGAGATTATAACAATTAGTAACTACGATTAGCAGGTTCTTCATTCAGAAACATTCATTAAAATCCTCTTACCACATTACTAGAGACTCCAAGAGTCGCAGTGAAGCTATTTGTACAGTTGGTAGTACTGCAGTGACAGCCAGAGCCTCCCTAGTGGAACCCAGTGTTGCCAACGTTGCTTTCTGAGCATGAGCAACAACATCCAAGATTACGTCTGGTGCAACAGCTTTAGCCACTGGAAACGTTTCTCTGAAAACAAGTAGTGTCATGGTCCATAGAAATCAATACTGACTCCTTTCTATTACTCTTGATAATGAATACAACTAGACATTGAATTCCCACGTTAAGTTGTAGCCAGTTTGGGGATTGAAATCAATGTCACTTGAATTAAATCGCCAACAGAATTGTAGTAAAAAAATGTAATGAAATGTTTTGACGTCAATAATTAACCATACAAACTTTTAAATCAAGCAATTGAAAGAACCACTTATTTTTAGTATTTTTATTCTACATCAACCACAAAAGCTAAAGGACCAATTCTCTCCTCTGTGTGTACAAAATTGGATAGAGCTGGTTAAAATAGATGGCACGACTACTTCAGTATCTAAAACCACAGAACACAGACCTTACACAGAGCTCTCTTTTGACACATAAAAAACATTGTGTTTGATTATGCTACAAAAACTACGATGACCTGAGGTTGGGGCGGAGAGAGAACTGATGTCACTACACCTTAGCTTTATCAACTAATCAGATATACAAGTGAAAGATATGTTTAAAATATTGCAGCTACAGCATTGCTCTTAGATTCTGATCTAGACAAGCAGATTTAAATGCTACGTTTATATTGGCTTAGTGTGACGGCTCGGTTAGGTCTTAACTCTTAATTCTGTATGGTACATACCAATACAAATATACATCTAACAAAACAATATGGACACTTATACAATAACAACTTAGCGTAGCCTTTCTATGTATGATAAAATGTCCCAAATAAACTGATTTCACAAAATATAGACTTTAATTAGATTACTTTTATTTTTAACAACAGATATGAGGAAGATGGTAGCCTACGTACAACAGCATTGCTTGTAGAAATAAAGCCACTGCAGAGAACTGGGTGGCCAAACGTTGTGACTTTATCAGAATGTTCTTTTCATTGACTGGTTCCAGGGAAAGCTCAATATCTTCCAAGGCCGTTGCACTTTCTTCCTGTAACAAAAATAATCTTTAGACCATAACAAATTAAGATTCTTTTTGAATGTACAGTATAAACAGGTAACATTTGTATTTTGTAGCTTAGACTCTTTGATTATTCACTGGTTTAGTGGTGCCTATTATTATAATATTTTCCCTCATCTTATTCAGTCACAGTAAACATTAGTAAAAGGTAGCAAAACACCTAAATGGTGAAAAAGAAACCAGCAAAGAATCTACCGCTCCTGTCAACTTTAATCCAAGCTGAACACTCCTTACATTTGGGGGCCTCTAGTATATAGCCTCTATTATAGAGTGCCACAAGTAAACACTGCATATGTTGCAAACACCAGTCCAGAATCAGACTGGATTAACACTCAATATATATCGTACAACAGTCTTGTTTTGAGTATCAATCCAGAGACATCTTGGACGGGAAAAAGTGCCTTAGACTGCACAGCTGTTATAGGACCTAAAAATATAAGAACCCGCAGACCGTTACTTACCATTAGACAGTCCACATGCTCATACAGTCTGTTGAGCAGAGAGTGCAGTAGACTCACTAGTCCCAGCTGTTGTCTCCTCCAGGCAGTCTTGTGTGACACTCCCAGCTTGCCCCCGCCTCCCACCCCCGCCACTAGAGATACATATCTACTACCATCACTTACCATGTGACAGTCCACATGCTCATACAGTCTGTTGAGCAGAGAGTGCAGTAGACTCACAAGTCCCAGCTGTTGTCTCCTCCAGGCAGTCTTGTGTGACACTCCCTGCTTGCCCCCGCCTCCCACCCCCGCCACTAGAGATACATATCTACTACCATCACTTACCATGTGACAGTCCACATGCTCATAGAGTCTGTTGAGCAGAGAGTGCAGTAGACTCACTAGTCCCAGCTGTTGTCTCCTCCAGGCAGTCTTGTGTGACACTCCCTGCTTGCCCCCGCCTCCCACCCCCGCCACTAGAGATACATATCTACTACCATCACTTACCATGTGACAGTCCACATGCTCATACAGTCTGTTGAGCAGAGAGTGCAGTAGACTCACAAGTCCCAGCTGTCGTCTCCTCCAGGCAGTCTTGTGTGACACTCCCAGCTTGCCCCCGCCTCCCACCCCCGCCACTAGAGATACACATCTACTACCATCACTTACCATGTGACAGTCCACATGCTTATACAGCCTGTTGAGCAGAGAGTGCAGTAGACTCACAAGTCCCAGCTGTTGTCTCCTCCAGGCAGTCTTGTGTGACACTCCCTGCTTGCCCCCGCCTCCCACCCCCGCCACTAGAGATACATATCTACTACCATCACTTACCATGTGACAGTCCACATGCTCATACAGTCTGTTGAGCAGAGAGTGCAGTAGACTCACAAGTCCCAGCTGTTGTCTCCTCCAGGCAGTCTTGTGTGACACTCCCTGCTTGCCCCCGCCTCCCACCCCCGCCGCTAGAGATACTTAATCTACTAGCATCACTTACCATGTGACAGTCCACATGCTCATACAGCCTTTTGAGCAGAGAGTGCAGTAGACTCACTAGTCCCAGCTGTTGTCTCCTCCAGGCAGTCTTGTGTGACACTCCCTGCTTGCCCCCGCCTCCCACCCCCGCCACTACAGATACACATCTACTACCATCACTTACCATGTGACAGTCCACATGCTCATACAGCCTGTTGAGCAGAGAGTGCAGTAGACTCACTAGTCCCAGCTGTTGTCTCCTCCAGGCAGTCTTGTGTGACACTCCCAGCTTGCCCCCGCCTCCCACCCCCGCCACTAGAGATACACATCTACTACCATCACTTACCATGTGACAGTCCACATGCTCATACAGCCTGTTGAGCAGAGAGTGCAGTAGACTCACTAGTCCCAGCTGTTGTCTCCTCCAGGCAGTCTTGTGTGACACTCCCTGCTTGCCCCCGCCTCCCACCCCCGCCACTAGAGATACATATCTACTACCATCACTTACCATGTGACAGTCCACATGCTCATACAGTCTGTTGAGCAGAGAGTGCAGTAGACTCACAAGTCCCAGCTGTTGTCTCCTCCAGGCAGTCTTGTGTGACACTCCCAGCTTGCCCCCGCCTCCCACCCCCGCCACTAGAGATACACATCTACTACCATCACTTACCATGTGACAGTCCACATGCTCATACAGTCTGTTGAGCAGAGAGTGCAGTAGACTCACTAGTCCCAGCTGTTGTCTCCTCCAGGCAGTCTTGTGTGACACTCCCAGCTTGCCCCCGCCTCCCACCCCCGCCACTAGAGATACACATCTACTACCATCACTTACCATGTGACAGTCCACATGCTCATACAGTCTGTTGAGCAGAGAGTGCAGTAGACTCACTAGTCCCAGCTGTTGTCTCCTCCAGGCAGTCTTGTGTGACACTCCCTGCTTGCCCCCGCCTCCCACCCCCGCCACTAGAGATACACATCTACTAGCAGCTACTACTACTTCTCTCCGTGCCTCTACAGTTGTTAGTAGCAGCTTCTGAATGTCCAGCTGAAACAATTGGAGATTTGACATATGTTTTCTCAGCTCTACTAAATACATGATTTATCTTATGATTGATATAGCCTACTAATTCATTAATAATCAGTTACTTCCATTAAAAACAAATTGTAGAATAAGCAATTGTATTCCTACACCAAGGAAGTTTACACAAAAGGGTAAAGTTACAATCAAACCTTTTTGGAAGTCCCTTGAATGCATGTATGGCTGTCAATGCAATAACTTTAATTATGATAAAAAATACAGTATTTGACCCTGAACATCTCGGAGGCACTGCCGAATTGCAGTGACAAGGGGATTGATATAATCATAATTTTATGGTTTTTTATCCTTGGACACTAGGCATGAGCCTGGGATTGTTTTTCACACTACTTCAGTCTAGATCTAGGGGTTACGGCATTATCACTTATACAGATATAGTGCTGATGGTGGGACGGTATCAGTTTTCCAAACTTGATTTTTTCTGCCTAGCGTAATTTTATGTTAGACATACCCTATACTCTCCGGCAGGGCCTGGGTATTCAATCATGCACCATTGAATGCATTCTAGCAGCTCAACGGACACCTGAAAACCAATAATAGAATCAATACTGTGACAGTTGTGCAGTAACTGTTCATTTTTGTTTTATAAATAATATCAATATAGCCTGCTAGGCTAACTAAACAATAGTAGTTTTGTATAACAAATTTATTTAATTGATTACAATAATTTTCATATCAAAAGCTCAAACGATTTTAAGTTAAACAGAAATTACTATTTCAAAATGGTTAAGGATATGGAAAAGAACGGTGAGATTTTTATAAATTATAATAAATTTTTTTTCAGCTATTCATTTTTTTATAGGTACACTAGATTCTTAGAACAGATGTAAAAAAACCATCGATGGATGAAATGTATCTTACCTGGTGGTTAGATTTCCGCCTCACATGGTCTTGCAAAAACTTGGGAACAATTTGTTTAGCTACATCTTTGTTTACTTCAGGAAACTTCACAGAAAGTCTTATTAGTTTGCCTAAAAATCATAACGACTGCTTAAAATATTGTAATACAATTCAATAAATCGTTTAATCTAGATGTAAGTTGAACATCGTCAGAATATAACAAGTCAGAATACCGATGGAGGCCAGGTAGGTTCACAGTACACACACAAGGGCAGAGGATTAGGACCAGCTCCATTAAATATTCTATTGTACCAACCAGTCAAAATTTAAAAATATTTTTATTTGTAATTTTACTTTGCCTTCTTTATTAGTTTTGAACTCTTTGCGTTATAACAAGAAAAATGATACCAAACAATGTACAGTTAACTGTAGCCTATTACCATTTGTGTTATAATAATAAACAGTTTGTTACAACACCTTAAATCGCCAGCTATTCATCAGCCGAGCAACTTACCCTGCCCCTTGTGTCCGTGAGTGTGGGAGTGGGTGCAGCGACGGAACTTTACCTGGCCTTCATCGGTACTCGTTATTTTCTAACACTATATAAAGTTAGAAATCAGTAAAACTGTAGGCCTAAACTGAACCTAGGCTGTTAAGATGCCGACACTATCGTACCCTACACACCAATGTGGTGAGCAGTTTTTTAGGCAAAGATGAATAAGAAATAAAACTAACAAACAATGTAAGAGCTTGTACTGATCCTGAGTAGGTACAAATTAATGCAAGCTAGCAAAATACAATACCTTTTATTTCAAATGCTGATCCATTTATTTATTTTACATTCTAACGGACAGCTCCATTTTGATATTTAGTAATTTTAGTGCAATACAAACAAGATTTACTTAAAGCTAGTTATACAATAATGTTGAGTGAAAAACAAAGAATCAGAATCAATTGATAACAACAAAAAAGATAAACGGCAACAAGATGGCAAAAAGACAGTGGTTGCAACAAAACAAGTTAAAATAAACAAAACAGTTAACGTACAGCAAAACAAATCAATAAAAGTGTTACAATCAATAACAATAATAAATTTAATTTGATCACTAATTAGGTATGGTAAAAATGAATCTGCTGTCGTACTAATTGCAGGATAAAGGATTTTGGAATGTTGTATTTAAGCAAAAGTTAGATACCTATATTTCTAACTTGTAAACTATTTCTGGATTAATATTCCAAGATTTTCAAAATGTAGTGCCTCATTGATTTACCATAGGTAGTTATGATGATCTCAATGATTAAACTTGACTCAAAAATTAAATTTAAATTACTAAAATGTATTAAATGTATACCGTCAAGCGGGGTAATTCTGACCCCCCAGGGGTAACATTGACCCCGGGGTCAATTATTTGTATTATATGCTTTTTTAAATAGTAGGTTATAAATAAATTGAAAATAAAAAATATGATAAATTACAGTAGTTTGGCAGCAATTTGAAAACAATTAATATTTAGCAGAAATTAGTTTTATAACAATAAAAAAATATTATAATACAATCATCTACAAAACAGCTGTATAATTTCATAACAAAAAACTTTTTCAGCCCAGCAAAAACTGTTGGTTCTGGCACTGTCAGGATTTTATATGGTAAAATATATATGTTTTTAGGAATATCTGAGCACTTATTACAAGTAAATAAAGAAAATTTAATAAATTAATTATTATTTTTTAAGGCCTTGTAACATTGACCCCTGATTTTTTTTGCCATCGGATAACTTTGACCCCTCGTTATAATTCCAAGTTACTAATTACACATCATTTTTATTGATTCTGGTATATTTAATTTAACTGATATATGTATATAATGTGATAGACCTACTAAAAATATTGATTTATAATTGTTTTATTTTTATCTATCAAGTTGAGGTAAAAGCAATCTATGGAAAGCGAGGAAAACAACACTTTAACCAGGTCTTTGCCTGTTAAGTTAAAAAAATTAACAGTTTGTTGAAGTAATGTGACTTAATTCTGGTGACACTAACTATGGGAAAAAATTTACATCTAAAAGAAAATTATGTGTTTTCTATTCTGCCCCATCTGTAGATCTGATTAGTTGCCGAGAACTCTGGAATCTGATGGGCACAAAATTTTCTATAACTTTTTGGAAGGGTTTGAGTAAAGGAAAATTAATGATTTTAGTCTTTAATAACTTGTAGTTTTGATGTTTTTCCTTGGTGTTACATCCTAATAATGTGATTTTGAGAAAAAAAAAATGCTAATTGGATCTATTCCGTCATTATAGCCTGGGTGTGTTCATAAAAAAAATTGTTATGTTCACTCCTTGATGTTGTTACCACTCTATTGTTCTTAAGTAACATTGACCCCTTTTACAGGGGTCAAAGTTTCATTGTACACTAGAAACATTGACCCCAGTGCTTTATTATGTATAATTTTAATATAATAAATGTAGGGGGTCAATGTCACCCCAAGACACGGGGTAACATTGACCCCTTTTATTATTTTTTTTTATGACTAACATATGACCATAAAAACAAAATAATTACTGGAAGGTATTCACACAGTACCTGTATATCATTTAAAAAATATATTGTGAATATTAATCAATATAAACAAAAATTAATCAACAAAAACATCAAAAAAGGGGTCAATCTAACCCCGGTTGACGGTACTTACTCAAAACTGTTAGAGCAAGTGCACTGGCAGATACTTCTTTTTGACTAATGAGTTTATTACAATTAACCATCCAAGAAAGGGCATTGCTGGAGAAGGCATCACTGGATATATGTGAAAGAAAGCTTTGCAGAAGCAGTAACCCCTTTTCTTTGTCAAAAGAGCTATTTAAGCTATTGTTGATAGATTTGATGACTGCATCGGTTTTGTCCTGCAACAGACCAAAATATTATCT